GGAAGCCGCGGCCGACGGGGGAACCCAAACGCTTGGTGGAGAAGGATTCTTCCTACCATGTGGGGCTTGGCCTCCAGGTCTGTGAAGTCCGACTCTTTGACTCCTGCCATCATCTGGTAATACTCCAGGTTCTGCCGCATCTCCATGTGGTCGGGGTTCCCCACGAAGAAGGTATGAGCAGCAGCCACGGCCTTAGCGATCTTGTGAGCGGCCGACGGGGGAACCCAAACGCTTGGTGGAGAAGGATTCTTCCTACCATGTGGGGCTTGGCCTCCAGGTCTGTGAAGTCCGACTCTTTGACTCCTGCCATCATCTGGTAATACTCCAGGTTCTGCCGCATCTCCATGTGGTCGGGGTTCCCCACGAAGAAGGTATGAGCAGCAGCCACGGCCTTAGCGATCTTGTGAATCTAAGCAAGGAAAACGTGGGGAGAAGTGAGACCAGACTCCCCATCGCACAGGGACAGTGTGCGCAGCCCCCCAGGGACATGATCTCCCAGTGCTCCATCAGCTGGGCATCAGTCCCATCCCCTGCCCAAGGCAAGGCCAATCCCAACTAAGCCATCCCAGCCAGGGCTGTCAAGCCGGGACTTAAAAGCCTCTAGAGAGGGAGATCCCCCCCCGCAAAGGTTACCCATCCCGGTGCCTCACCACCCTCTTTGTGAAATAGTTTTTCCTAATATCCAACCTAGACCCCCCCCCGCCCCCCACTACTGCAACTTGAGCCCATTGCTCCTTGTTCTGCCTACACCGAGAACAGCTTCTCTCCAGCCTCTCTGGACCCCCCTTCAGGGAGTTGAAGTCTGCTCTCAAACCCCCCCTCACTCTTCTCTTCTTCAGAGTAAACAAACCCAAATCCCTCAGCCTCTCCCCATAGGCCATGTGCTCCAGCCCCCTCGTCATTTTCATTGCCCTGCACTGGACCCTCTCCAATGCATCCACCTCCTTTCTATAATGGGGGGCCAGAACTGGACACAATACTCCAGCTGTGGCCTCACCAGAGCTGAATAAAGAGGAACAATCACTTCCCTAGATCTGCTGGCAACGCTCCTCCTAATGCTCCCAATCTGCCATTAGCCACCTTGGCAGTAAGGGCTCCCTGGTGACTCACATCCAGCTTCTCATCCACGGACATCCCCAGGGCCTTTTCTGTCCTCCCAGCATGCCTCAAGGCAGCCACTCTCCACAGGCCCGGAACATGCCCACACCAGTTAACAATAGGACTGCTAACCTCACAGCACCTCACCCCTCCCACAAAAATGCCATTTCTCTGTGCCCACCAGAACTCCAGGTCAGGCACCTAGTCCGGGGGGGCCCTCGGCCTGCTCTGTGGGGCAGGAACCACTCCAGGTTGACAGATCACGCCGGGACCTGCCTCGCCTCCCTGCTTCCTGCTGCAGTCACAGCCAGAGGCAGCGGGGCTCCCTTGCCAATAGTGTCCTGTGGGCTTCATAAACATTCCCTGCTCCCCAGGGACAACGTGGCAAGAGGCAGCAGGACAGCCCTGCGGTGCGGGAAGCAGCACGTCAATGGAGCAGGTTTCGGTGTTGTGGCTTGTTTTGCTCTGTCACGCTGACTCTTTGGGGCGAGCAGACAGGACGCTGAACTGCGCATTGCCTGGTTTCCTAACATGTGGGTTGGGGGTCTCACCCAACGATGCTCAGATTGATCTGGGCCATAACTAAGCTGCTTGGACACAAATCCATCAACCAGCAGCAAAAAGGGCAAGAACAGAGTTTGGTAAATATTACAGGTCAATGCTACACAGGGACCCGCAGCCTGACGCACACGTAAACCAGCCCGTGATGTTGGGATGCTGGAGAGGGGAAATCCCACAATGCTTTGGGGCTATGCTAGGGCCAGACAACCTAAATCTACTGGGGAAAAGCAACTGGCTACTTCAACAGCTTGGCTACGTCTACACTGGCACCCTTTTCCGGAAAAGCGATGCAGATTAGCCAAGTCGGAATTGCAAATGCAGCAGGGATTTAAATTTTCCCTGCTGCATTTGCATGAACATGGCTGGCGCTTTTTTCCGGCAAAGCCCCGAGCTGGAATAAAGCAGCAGCCATGTTCATGCAAATGCAGCAGGGATTTAAATTTTCCCTGCTGCATTTGCATGAACATGGCTGCTGCTTTATTCCAGCTCGGGGCTTTGCCGGAAAAAAGCGCCAGTCAAGACGGGGATCTTTTGGAAAATAAAGCCTTTTCCGGAAGATCCCTTATTCCTGATTTTAAGAGGAATAAGGGATCTTCCAGAAAAGGCTTTATTTTCCAAAAGATCCCCGTCTTGACTGGCGCTTTTTTCCGGCAAAGCCCCGAGCTGGAATAAAGCAGCAGCCATGTTCATGCAAATGCAGCAGGGATTTAAATTTTCCCTGCTGCATTTGCATGAACATGGCTGCTGCTTTATTCCAGCTCGGGGCTTTGCCGGAAAAAAGCGCCAGTCAAGACGGGGATCTTTTGGAAAATAAAGCCTTTTCCGGAAGATCCCTTATTCCTGATTTTAAGAGGAATAAGGGATCTTCCAGAAAAGGCTTTATTTTCCAAAAGATCCCCGTCTTGACTGGCGCTTTTTTCCGGCAAAGCCCCGAGCTGGAATAAAGCAGCAGCCATGTTCATGCAAATGCAGCAGGGATTTAAATTTTCCCTGCTGCATTTGCATGAACATGGCTGCTGCTTTATTCCAGCTCGGGGCTTTGCCGGAAAAAAGCGCCAGTCAAGACGGGGATCTTTTGGAAAATAAAGCCTTTTCCGGAAGATCCCTTATTCCTGATTTTAAGAGGAATAAGGGATCTTCCAGAAAAGGCTTTATTTTCCAAAAGATCCCCGTCTTGACTGGCGCTTTTTTCCGGCAAAGCCCCGAGCTGGAATAAAGCAGCAGCCATGTTCATGCAAATGCAGCAGGGATTTAAATTTTCCCTGCTGCATTTGCAATTCCGACTTGGCTAATCTGCATCGCTTTTCCGGAAAAGGGTGCCAGTGTAGATGTAGCCCTTGGGTACAAGAGCACGTCCGTTCATGACAACGTGTGCGCAAAGGTGTGTCCGACCCGCTTTCCCTGCAGGGCGCAGGGCTGCCGACTCACCGGGAACATGTCTCCAGTACCCAGACTGAAAGAAACTCCATAAACTGCCAGCATCCCTGCTGGAGATCATTCCCACTAACCCCAAGCCTCTGCTCTCCGGCTCTGCACACACACTTTATACCTCGCATCGAACATTCCCTTGGTGTTCCAGAGTCCTAGGCTGGGGGCTGACCTGCACTAGCTAGGCCCAGCTGTCAAAGTCTGTCCGTCCTGGAGGAGCAGCACACACTCTAAACATTCTTGGTTCATTCCCAGATTTCAGGAGGCTTTGCCCAGGCTCCCTTATTTCAGAGTTTTGCGGTTAAGGCACTGGACTGAGACACAGGAGATCTGAGTTCAGTTCCAGGCTCTGCAACAGACTCTTGGTCTGATCTTGAGCCAATCTGTGAGCCTTATCTTCTCCGTCTGTAGAAAGGGAATATCGCTCTTTCCTTCTCCCACCGATTATGTCTCTTTAGACTGCTACATCTTACATGTACCATGTGCAGCACTTAACACTGTGAGGCTCTGATGTTGGATAGGGTCTCTAAGTGCGACAGTCATTCAAAGGATAATTTAATACGAGTCTTCCAAGAGACTTTCCCTTTCAGGGAGAAGAAAATGGAGAAACACCATATAGGACAAGCATGTTGTTTAATGCATCTCTGGAAGGTGCTTCGATACTACATTGATGGGCTCGGTATGAACACCTGAACGGAACATACTGGGCAGTAGTGAATGCTGTTTCCTAGGTTACTTAAAATGGGGCTAGACAAAGCCCAGACTGCACCATAGGGACCAATCCCGCACTGGCAGGGGCTGAACAAGCTGGCTCAGTAGGTCTCTTCCGTTTCTGCCTTTTGTGATTCTATGAATTGCACCTTATCCCAAGAGTTTAATTTTCATAAGAACTTAAAGAAGGACCATCCCGGTGAAATCGAATACCAAACCAAACCAAACCAAAGTGAATCAAATAGTTTCAGGTTAGGGATGTAACAGTGCAAGTGTAAATGATTAATCGATAAACATAAGGCTATCGAGTATCGTAACAGTTACACAGCAGCTCCTGGCTCTGTTCCCAGGAAGCCACCTGGGCTACGGGCTCTGCAGTATAAGCTTCATATGGCAGAGCACTAAGCATGCAACCGTGTAACCACTAAGTTGTGGGGTTTTTTACGGTTTCACGGTTACCTAATTAACCCTTTTTAACATCCCTGTTTCAGGTTCTGCATCTATGGAAAGTAGCCCTGCCAAACTTTTAGTTTTTTAAGTGACATTTTTCCACTTTAAAAATATTTTCTCTTGCAGTGTAAAAAACAAGTAACACAAGACACCAACGGAGTATAAAGCTGAGAGTGAAACTGTCAAAATGCACAAAGTAAACTGATTTTTTCCTCTCATAACTTTCTGGTACTAGCTGTTACTTCTAATGCCAGTAGCTAAAACTCCAAACAGAAGTGTGATTAAATTGACAGTTAATTAACATGAGCCAGTTTTTTCTTTAAAGCTTTCTTGGGGACAAACAGTTCCTACTCTTGGGTTAGAGGAAATTTCCTGTGCCCCAGAGAGTCAATGAGATCAATACAATACAAAACTCCCCAAGGAGAGGGATACCGCAACACCGTGTAAGAACATTCCTTGACCTTGTTTCCTTTAAGTGTCCATCGGAGCACAGCGTTAGCTCTAGAGCCCGTGTTTCCCAACATCACGACTAAACACAGACCGAATGGTTGCAAACGCACTTCTCAGTAAGATCACTGACTGAGAGACACACAAGCAGCAGGGAAAGGGCACATACAAAGAGGCTGTTTTTCACTTTTCTGAAATGTGAGACCCTCCTGGCTCACGTTACAGTGGGCATGACGGATGAGACAGCCCCCAGCTTACTACGTGGCATTTCAGCTTCTGAAGAAGGAAGTTTCTTAGAGGGGGTTGGGCTTTCAGCTGCAGGAAAAGGAAGGGAGAAATTTGGAAGCAGCTAGGACTGCACATGTGGCATGAACTCTATGGCCCTGCCGTGGGGAGAGTGAGAAAGGAGGATGCAGAGCTCCTTGGCTGGACTCTGATACACACGCTCAGCTGGGAAAAAGGGAATGTGCAAAAAACAAAGTAA